ACTTTGACCTTTGAACTTTGAATATTTAATATGTAATATTTGCTTTGTTGTGTTGCCAGAGACACCAATAGCTTTACATAATTTGTGTCTCTGGATAAACAGCCGTGCCCAATTATCGCCACAATAAAATTTATTAAATTCATACTTGATGTTTTTATATGCACTTATCTGAGATAATATTCAAAGCTAATTCACTCTGAATTAGCTGCTTTTATCGAAGAAAGTGCATAATTGCTTTACCTAAATCTCATTACTTATTTCTAGTGATTATTGTTCTTGTCAAATATTTAGTTGATTATTCCCCCTTTTAATAAAAACACCTGAGGGCGCTTTGGTTGCAACTTCCTTTTTCAATATTCCAGCATCATCTTGGGTCGGTAAAAATTTTCCAGCTTGTTATTGTGTATTATAAATTTGAAACACCCACCCACCTCACCTATTTAAAATAGATACTGCTTTTCTGGTTCTTTTTAATGCTTTCAGACAAAGACTTTTAGAGAATATCAAGCTCAACATGACAGGACTTGTAAGATGAAACCAGGACCTTAGGGAACAGCCAAGAGGATTGAACCACAAGTATCTCTATGGACTCGCAGAATTCTGGACTTTGAAGACATTTAATGTGAAAGTGATGTGAGGAACAACTATTTATTTGGAAGTGATTCAATCCAAGAGCAAGTCATGCACCATTTTCAGGAGCCGATAACTTTCCACTAACCACAAACATTAAACAATAATGTGGATTAACAGGATCTGGTACGGCTGTCCGTTTCTTTCCAGCTGAAATGTGCGTAAACGAGCGGCACTAAGTAACTATCCTAATATGCAGTCATGTAACTCATGAAAGTTGAAAAGTAAACTTGGGATTTAGATATACATAAATAAGTGCTTGACCTCTGCACCTCCCAGGGTCAAGGCTTTTACCACTTTCTCATATGGTGTTTGTGAACTTTGACCTTTGAACTTTGAACCTGAGTTTGAATATTCAATATGTAATATTTGCTTTGTTGTGTTGCCAGAGACACCAATAGCTTTTCATAATTGTGTCTCTGAATAAACAGCCGTGCCCAATTATCGCCACAATAAAATTTATTAAATTCATACTTGATGTTTTTATATGCACTTATCTGAGATAATATGTTTTCCAAGTATTTTTTTTTTATCAAGTGATACTTTCTATCAGTTTATCAATGAAAAATTTACAAACTGTATAAGTTTTTACTTTTATACCTCACATAGTTTTGGGGCTATTGTAAAAATAAATTTTTGGACATGTTGACCTTTGACGAAACCTTAAGAATCATTATTTTATTGCAAAACTTATCTTCGATATTTATATTTTCATTATTATAACTTAGCCGTTATTTTATTCATGAAGTTTCTCTGGAAAATAAAATGTTGTTATAAGGACATTGTAGAAAAAGAGATATTTTGTAAAATGATTATCCACATCAGTCTTAAAACAAAAATCAAGACAGTCATTAGAAAATTGTATTTCGAAATATAGTTATTTAAAATAGGCAGGGAGTATGTTTCAAATTCCAACTTACTACTTCCATATATATTTTCCCATTTTTTTTTCTTCAAAAATGTGAAAATCAACCTAAAAATGATAAAAATGTTTGAACTTCTTGGAAATACTAAATGACTCTGTTCGGTTAAACGCGATTTCTACACCTCCACTGTGTCGAAAGTTTTGATTAACAGGACAAGCACGTGGACTTCGTGTGAACAGTGTGAACTTGAAGTAGGAAAATAAAAGCCGATAAGTTGTCAAATGAATTTGTTAATCTCTCCCTCTCTCTCTCTCGGTTCAACAAAAACTATGACAGCACATAATTTATTTAGTTCTGAAAATGTTATCTATTACAAATAATATGAATGCTTCTTTCCATCATCTTGTCCGGGTATAATATCACGGCCGGGAAATGTCAACAGATACATGATGTTTATTTCATAGAAATAAAAATGTCACAAAAATTTAAAATATTACATGTATTGCATTAAAATTTTGAAATACGAGTCTATTTATGCAATACGTCAACAGACCTTTGTAAATTAAAAACTCGTTATTTTACACGGAATCGCATTAACACTTGTCTTTGTCCGAGAGAAAATTAAAAATAACTAATGTACTTTATTTCTACCTGAATGTACTGGATCGCGGTTTTAAAAAATCACGTGCAGGGCAGGACAAATAGCTAGACAGAAGCAGGGCTTGTAACACGTGGATTGGCGGAATCAAGAGCATGTTTATATAAGGAATAACTGTCTTATTTTTCGATTTCATGAAGATGATCAATCAATTGGCGTTTATGCAAATTATCACGCAAGCCAATCGATGGATCACATCAATAAGACAGTTATTCCTTAAATATATACCGGTAAAATATAGTTGTTAGAACCATGGTAATCAATTCATTCTGTAAGTACTAGTTTTCTCTTCTTAAGTCCACATTATGTTATTAATTAAAAGTATCAGATATATTTTTTATATAATTATAAGTAGATTAATTTCATTTTTTATACTACACACGTAACAATCACACGTTTTACAGCAACGAAAATTGTGTTAGGCCAAAATAAAAAATACCTTTAGCTTTGTTTCCCCTTACGCGACCGACCCAATTGAATTGCGCCGACTGAATTTTTTTTCAAATAAGATGATTCAACTATTTTTTTTATTGTTAACCAATTGCAAGTTTTATAAAATACAATTCTATCAAAATCAGTTTTTATCTGATGTCACTACAGGCCATTAGCTAATCATAAAACTATGGCGACGTCTCAATCTTATGCTTTTAGCTAATTGGAATTCTTCACTCTTGAAACAATTCGATAATAAAATTTATCATGACTAATTAAGAGTGTTTCGGAGGAGTCTTGGCGTCTCCACGTGAGTGCATAATTTTTCGAAAGGGAAGTTCAACAACAAACAAACAAACCTATCTTTGAATTTAAGGTACGTAATACAGGGTAAGGCCCGCCTAATGAGTAGATGAGGGGCCCACCTTGTGAACACATCATTTAATTTCACTGCATTTTATTTAATTTGAGTTTTGAGCTAATAACTAGTTCTTCTAATATAATATGTTCCTATGTCAACTATGTGCCATTATGGAACCATAGGGGTTGTTGTAAATATGCCTGCATATTCATCCTGATAAATATAATTCACATGTCCTTTTTTCCATGCCTTTATTAAGTGGTTAATTTGTGACTATGACATTGTATATAGCATTTTTATCATTTGTAGATTCGGTTTGGTTCAATTAAATATTGTTTACATACTCTTTCCAAATAGTTTTGAAATCATGACTCAGTTTCCGGAGACGTCCAGTGTATTTTTCTTTAATCAGGGCCTTGAAGATTGGTTGTTTCTTTGCTTTTAATCCCTTCGAGATTTGTTGGGACGACATTTGTACATTTCCACATTGCTCCAAATTTAGACGTACTCAACAATATTTTGCCATTAAGCAGTGGGGGGTCTTTTTGAGCCAGCATCTTCTGCGATACTGGACATAAGTTTTTATCGTCCCCTTTGAAGGACCGTTTTCAACGTTAGTAGTTGGGATTTGAACCTGCGATTTAAAAATAGCCACTTCTTAACTCCAAAGCGAAATGCCCCAGAACCACTGCAAATCTCATGGCCATCAAAAAGTACATTGATAGTCTATAAGCTCTCAAGGCTGATGGAAGGTTTGAAAAAATATACTCGTAAGTCTGGTCTTTGCGAATTTGACAATCTTGTCTATTTTATTCAATTTTTATAAATATAACAGCGTGAGATATTTCACAAGTCAACTAAATAACAATTGTGAATTTATTAATCATTAATCTTGTTTTTTAACGGAATATGTACGATACTTAGCATTTTGTTCACAAATCGTTCTTTTGTACTTTTCTTATTTATAAAGGTAATTTTCCATTAAATTTTAGACTGTATTTTCAAAGCTGCTGTCAGAAAATAAAATTGTTTACCTACCTACCGAACCAACTTGAGAATTTAGGGGCGGGTTAGGGGAAACAAAGATATTTTTAATTCCGGCCTTATTATAAAAATATTTATTTAAAACATTATACATAAATGTAAGTGCAGAAAAATGTTTTATTTATTTATCTATTAATTGTTTATTTATATTTTATCACCTGACATTAGAATAAATAGAAAAGTTTCAATGAAAGGAAAAGATCGGAGGCATTCCGATTAGATCGTTCATCTTGCCTTCACCCTTCTGGCGTTCACTTTGCGATCGCGTTTGCGCTCCGTTCGCGTTCACACATCGTTCGACAATTTGCGTTCAGCGTTCACACATGATTCACTCACCGTTCGCTATGCCATCGATCACCGCTTGTTTAGCGTGTGTTCACCGTTCAGATAGAAAAGTAGAACATTTGGGATTGTATTTCAAGAGAAATGAAATATTATTATGTACAATTTTTTTTTAAAAAAAGTAAATATCGCCAAATGTTGACTTTGTTCGTAAAGTATTCTCGAAATGCCGAAAAGATGAGACCTTAATTATGAGCAATTACTAATTCTGACAAGTCCGTGATTGTTTGTAAAGCATGAGCTGCATGTTTGGTAATTCTATTTTGCTGTTAAAATGTTTTATGATAATTTTTATGTAACTTAAACCTTTATGATCAATAAGACTAAAATAAAACAGAAGAAAGACTGAAATTCTCCATACAACCCTTATACAGTTTCATATAAGAAATCATTATTGTACAGGACGACAATAATGTAATGTTAATTCAATAAAAGCTGATTAATAAATATGAACAACAGAAGTTTATAAACGTTATTTTTTCTGTTATTGATATAGTTATTTACAATTTTGAAACAAAAAATTCTGAGAAAGTTGCAGCTCATATTTCAAAACATTTTCGGGGAAACCCTCCATCGTAAAGGAATGACGTTTGGGAAAGGCCTGCACAGTCAGTATATAAAAGTACATATTTGCATGTTGTGACATTATGGTAAATCTCTTGTCGAGGATGCAGGTGACAATTATTCTATTGTTTACGTTATCTTGTGTAAGTAGCATAGAGTTTTATTAAATTTATTTGAAAAATACTTACATGTAATTTTGACATGTTTAATTAATTATGGATTTTTATTATTTTCAGTGTTAAATTTTTCCACACGTTTATGTGGACTGCACTTGATTTAACATAGATTTACCCATCTTTGCTACATGAACACTCTGACTTTTCTTAAAAAGTAATATCGATCAATAGGAAAATTAATTTAAACTCCAGTTGTTAAGATAGCATATGATAAGATTGATTTTACATTGTTTAACGCTGAATCCGCAGTTTTTTTTCAGCCATGTGTCGGCGGATTTTAAGTTTTTTAAAAGGTTATGATAGTTTTTGTAATTCTCTGCCGGCCCCAACTAGAAAATATTATATTTAATGCAAGTTGAATGGCTTTTGTTTCCGAAATAAAAATTGTTGCTTCATTTAGAAGCCGTGTAGTGAAAACTCTGCTATCCATCACAACAGCTGATGCAACTTCATTTTTATCCTTTGAACCATCTGAATATATATCGACTGTTAAACCATAATGATTCGGCAAATTTTTGCATAAAAAACAGGAGAACTCGTGTTTGATTTCTTATAAATTCGATGAAATATAAATCTACAATTGTATCTACAACTGGAATTATTACTTACAAGCAGCTTACAAAAAGGTAGCCCCAATTTAGTCGCCTCGCACGACATGCAAGGGGATAAGAAAGATCTATTCTTATCACCCCCGGTTCCTACGGGGAAGGGGTTAACAATAAGAGAGTCAATTCTGTTGTTTCAATGACCATTGGTTGGTTTCCTACAAGTAGGAGTCATCTTGGTGAATATTGTTTAGCCTTTAGCACGGTATGACCCTATCTTGGTGAAATTTCAAATGGATTTTAGCATATGATCGTGTATTTGTGAACTAATAGTCTCCAGTACAATCTGAATATATCTTTGTGACATGTGTTTTTAGGTATAGGTACAATTATTCTGCCTTGGGTACATTTTGTACAGGCTTCAACAAGGTAGGATTCTAGCTTGTTGACCTTTTTAGAACATAACCTACTTATTCAGCCAATCAAATGCTTCCATTTCTTGTGAAGAATCGATTCTTCATAGTGAAGAATTCTTCTATTTCTGAAAAATTCAACGGTGTCTGATTGGTTCACTTGACAGTTATATGGGTGTGTCTTCATTGGTCTTTGTTCAGCACACAAAAAGAAACTATTCAAAACCCACGTGCTGTTTACAAGGACATTTAAACTTTCTAGGCCTTGTTACACTTTTTTCCACTGTAATCTTTTGTCGCCTTTTTGAATATTATTTTTTTCACATTTCGGTACATACAGAAAATACAATCATCGTCATGTATATTAGAGACGAATCTTGTCTTTGAAGAAAGATTTAATCACAATTTTAATCAATTTTTTATTTGATATTAGACAGCGATACCCACTCCTGCTGACTAGGGCCTTGTCATCTTAACACAATTATTTTTCAAAAAATATAGATATTTCGATTCTTGTTACATGGGTATTTATTAGTTCAGTAATTTTAATATCTTCACCATACCATTTCCCCAGTAAATCAAGCTATTTCATATATTTCCGTGCTGACCTGAATGTGTTTCCATTCTGAAACCGCGTGTGTTCGATATTGCTTGCGTGCTCGATATGTACAACGAGCGGTCAAGTTGAGCCTTATATATGACACAGTCGTGGGAGGAGTTAATTTTTAATCCATTCATTTGATTGGCTGAGGTTATGTTCTAAGTCAGTAAGATCATATGAAGAGAAATCTTCGTGACGAAGAATGGGCTCCTCTTCGCTCCGCCCATTATTCGTGACGAAGATTTCTCTTCATATGATCTTACTATTACTTAGAGGATTTAACACAGTATAATTTACCCTCCTGTCCTTTTCTACGGGCTTTTGAGCCATATAAACCATATCTACTTGACTTATTTTTACAGGCTTTAGCACAGTATGATCGGGGTCCATTTCCTCCGGAGCAGCCTGAAGGAAAACCGAGAGGTTTCACCTTTACATTTATATCTCTCAATAAGTTATAATTCTGTATATATAGAAATTTAATGACTCTAATTCTTGGCAATTTTATCGACTATTATCTGGTTTGGGTCAGTTTTACGCTTAAAGCTGACATGAACTCTTAAAAAGGCATCATTTTTCATCTTTGTACGACTTACTACATTCATGTACGCCTTTGTCCACCATATTTCTTCGATTCCGCCATATTTAATCGAACATTTTTGGCCACCTGTACCTGCTATATATAGCCTTTTACAATTGTTTCACTTGAGTGATTTTCTATCCTGGCTGTCGACATGTGCACATCTCCGATAGCATAGTTTTTAGAAGTCAATAAACTGACCAATACATGTTTGAAAAGTAAAAATTCAACAAAAACTAGAACTATACCGAGAATTAAATTATTTTTGAATGCATTTGCTGCAATAAAGAAAATACACTTACACGGAATACATTCAAGTAGAGCAAAAATTCCATGCAGGTCAGTCGAGAAAACGCGTCAAACGCAGTGATAGAAATATTTACCTGAATACTGCTATCGTTACAGGGATGTGCACATGTCGAAAGAATTATCCTATTTTACTTTTATTGAAAAATGCATCTCAGAAATCATGTAATCCATTGCTAACTCAACAGTAAAAACTGCTTGGACACACGTGGTCCATGCCGATCATTTTATTTGGTCAGGGAAAATATCAAAGGTTGAAAGCGCCGTGGAGTTGACTGAAGAAAATGCAAATAATTTTTTTCTAGAGAATAAACATTACTCTTGTCTGTAAATGGTGTAAATAAAATGTTTTAAAACATGGTTTAACTTCATCAAATTTATAATAAAGCATGCATTATTACGAATCATTCACCTTTTGAAGATATGAAGATATTTTCCTGTGAAAGGGGGGGGGGGGTGAATAAAACATGCATAACACTCTCATAAAAAATATTTTAAGAGAAACGTCTGAAACAGATCGGATTTCTTTATGATCAAATATAATCAAATAAATACTGTGTATTGGCTTTATTAGACCTAATATAATTTGATTTAAAGTTATTTATAATTTTATGCACAATTAAAGAAAAAGTGAGCAAATTCACATACCCCACGCTCCCACAAAAGTCGAAGTGCTGAAATTCACAAAAAAAAAAAAATAAAGGAATCGTAATTTCCTTGTAATATGCCCATATATACACATTGTGTCCTAAATATCTGCAAAGTTTGGCGAAGTTGTGTGGAGCGGTTTATGAGGAATTGCCCTGACAATCTGCTTTATATTCAAGATATCGCCAAAATCTAAATGTAAAAGTGCGTAAATTCCCGAAAAAATAAAGATTTCGGAATTTCCTGGTAATGTGCAAATACAGACACATTGACTCCTTTAAATATCTCTAAAGTTCGACAAAACTCTGTGCATTAGTTTATAAGAAGTTGCGCTGACCAAAAAGAAAAAGGGGCTGACTGATGGGTCCAAAACATTAAACCTCACGCAACTTGTTGCGAGGGGTATAATAAACGAGTTTGATTCTGTGGTACAATGATAATGAAAATAGAATTTAATGTGAATTAAATTTCTAGACATAAATAATTAATGATTACTAGAAAAAGCAGATAAAAAGAGAGAGGAAACCCCCCGCGAGGATTTCCGCATTCTTCCTACAATTACCTTTATGAAAATTCCATTGTCTTTTGTCCAGGTTCAGCATATACATGTAAGTGTCGGAACCGGGGGGGGGGGGTGGCTTTTGTACAAATATATACTTAGTATAGACATTGAATATTGCTGCGTAGTCCCCCCCCCCCCCCCCGCTTTTCACAGACAAGTCGCAGTATAAGTTAAAAAAGAGGAAAGTGTTGGTGTTTGGAGAAAAATTTTGTTACTGAAGTTGGGACCTACCCCCCCCCCCCCTTTTCACCCACACGAAATAGGATATTCGTGTTTAGGAAAAGGACATTTCCCCCTTTTTTTAAGCTTGTCAGATTTTTTGAAAGTATAAAAACAATTTCTTTGCACTTAGCCACCCCCCCCCCCAAACTTTCAATTTGCTTCCGACGCCAATGCGTTTGAGAAGGTATTTGAGAAAGTCCCCGATGTACCCATTCCTGTGATGTATATTTCACGTTTATTATATCTCCCGCTTGAAAAGTGGGAGGGTATATAGTAATACTTATGTCCGTCCGTCGGTCTGCTAAGCTTTGGGGTACCCATCTCTTATCCGCAAATCCTCTTATACCACTTAGTGAAATTAAATAAAACTTTCACAGAATCTTATAGGTTTATTACATATTACCATTGTGCACCTCCTATTTTACTTTTTGATCCGACACGTATTTTGGGTTTAGCGACAACACCAAATATGGACTTTACCATTATAACCATATGGGAGGCGGGGGTATCATTTAGTGAGCTCATTGCTCACAATACCTCTAGTTTTCTCTTTCAATTTGGCCGTTTGGGTTAACTTCTCGTCCAAATTAAAATTATTATTCAATTTATGAAGTTTCGACATCCCGCCTGAAAAAAAAATCATTGATCTGTCCTAAGGTTTAATAAATGGACAGCACAAAGTGCGTAGGATCTTATACCTATTATTGCCCTAAGAGATGACTACAGAGTTAGAGAGAGAGAGGGAGAGAAAGAAAGAGAGAGAAAGAGTTCAAAATACAAATAAGTAAATAAAAATTATCCGTATTCAACCAGTGTCAAGACTCCCTACCCTAGCTTTTAAAATAATCTCCCAAATACTCCTACAGAAATTATTTTTAAATATAAAAAAAAATAGCTAGACTATCAGGCAGGGATACTGAAATCTCGAAAGTCTCTCTTTAACACCATAATTATAAAACATTTATACATACCTCAAAATGCACATACTTTGTGGTCGGAGTGACACATTTAAAAAAAATTTCAAAATTGAATTTGGCAGAGATGTCTGTCTTCCAAGAATATTTAGATTACGGTCATGTCAATTATTTTTGCCCCCCCCCCCCCCGCCTAAAAAATCAAATGCCTAAATGTCAATCTGAACAGGAGATGGCATTTCTTCGTGTGTTAGTGTGTTAAAGAACGCATAGATCTATGTACACATAAAAAAATTGTATTCTGGTTAATTGCTTTTAAGATTTGAAGTAAATAATTACCGTACATCAAATAACTTGGTTTAGATTTGAGATTTGTAATATAATAATCAGTTATAATTGACAAATGAATTTTGCGACGCAAACCAACTGCAGACTATATACATGACTTTGTATAGAATGTATATTAGAACTACATGTTTTTATAAAATTCAAAATTTTTGTTTATGAACAGCAGTTATAATACCCCCCCCCCCCTTCAGCCGCGCAAATACCAAAAAACTTCTCTTTCCACTTGTGATATTTTCCCTGACCAAAATCTGATCAGCACGGACTAGGTGTATCGACGTGCTTGTCTGTACGGAGTAATGACAGTGTGTTTACTATTGAGCTTTTACGGAGTTTATTTCTTTTTTGTGATGCATATTTCAATAAATGGAATTCAGGGTGTATATCACTTGACTTGTGCACATCTTCGAACCGATGGCGTATTCTTATTACCAGGTATGGGTGAGTTTACAGCGTTCGAGGCGTTTTCTCGATATGCACCAATTGCATAGGGGCTGCAAATCAAAAACATTGGTTGTTTTGTGCCATTCATGATCAAATGATAATAATTTCAAAATGTGTTTGCAGATTTTACTGCTTTTTATTTCAAGTTTATTCTGCATAAATTGCCGCACTGTAAAAAATACGTACTCGTGCATCTAAATTTCTCACCAAAATTGCATTTTTTTCTTTTGATTCAAATCAATAATTATTCAGAATTATGATTATTACTTTGTTTATTGTGGTTTTGAAATGTCTTGATCTCCTTATGTGTTCTCATATATGCTTTACCATCGGAGATGTGCACAAGTCGATACCCAAACCAAAAAATCATTCAACTGTAACGAGCGCATTGGGGTATACATCGTTACAATGAGACAAGGTATCTGAAAGAAATATGGCGGAATACGGCTATCGTTGGTATGAAACAAGTCGTACATAGATGAAAATGTTGCGTTTTTAAGAATTCATGTCAGCTTTAATAACCCGCTAAGCGGTTTATATATGTAATAGTAAGATCATATGAAGAGAAATCTTCGTCATGAAGAATTAGCGGAGCGAAGCGGAGCCCATTCTTCGTGACGAAGATTTCTCTTCATATGATCTTATTGACTTAGAACAGAACCTCAACCAATCAAATGCATGGATTAAAAATAAACTCCTCCCAGGCTGTGTCATATATAAGGCTCAACTAGACCGCTCGTTGTACATATCGAGCACGCCATCAATATCGAACACACACAGTTTCAGAATGGACCCCTAACCCATTCAGGTTAGCACGGGATTATATGATGAAATACCTTTATTTACTGGGGAAATGGTATGGAGAAGATATAAAGTTACTGAACTAATGAATACCATAGGCGTCGGAAGCAAATTGAAAGTGTGTGTGTTAAGGGGAGGGGGGGCTGAACCAACAAAAAAGGTAAACCCTCATTTCAATGCCTACATTATGTATATATATTTGCAAGAAAAGTGGGGGGCTAAGCCCCCCCTCTGCCCCTGCCCGGTTCCGACGCCTATGAATACCCATGTAACAAGGATGGTAATATCTACATTTTTGAAAACTTATTGTGTTAAGATGACAAGGCTCTAGTCAGCAGTAGTGGGTATAGTTGTCTAATATCAAATAAAAATTTGATGAAAATTGTGATTAAATCTGTCTTCAAAGACAACGTTCGTCTCTGATATATATGACGATGGTTGTATTTTCTGTATGTACCGAAATGTGAAAAAAATAATATTCAAAAAGGCGACAAAAGATTACAGTGGGAAAAAATGTAGCAAAGCCTAGAAAGTTTAAATATCATGATTGTAAACAGCACGTGGGTTTTGAATAGTTTCTTTTTTTGTGCTGAACAAATAC